TATATAAATAACATCAACATAAAGCCCGATTGGTATACATATAAAACTTCCAAACGATCGCCTGAATAACGGGCTATAATATGGCTACTTAAAATGATTAGAACCAAAGCAATTTGTCTTAAGAGGTAAGCGTTAGGCGCCATCTCGTAACTAAATTAATAATTAAATAAATATAATTAATTAAATTAAATTAAATTTAGAACCTTCTGGAATAAAAGAACTGGCCCGGGACGGGGCTCGAACCCGCAACCTCCGCTTACCGTGCGGTGCGCTACCAGTTACGCCACCCGGACCCCGAGCAAGCCTTCGCTTCCAGAAGTATATATAATAGATTAGATATAACCTTACTTGGTTAAATACATCACTGACTGGGGGCGACTTCATCGCCCACGACCCTCAATGGCACTCAGCCAGCTAACGTAACACCCGGCGAGGTATATATATATAAATAACATCAACATAAAGCCCGATTGGTATACATATAAAACTTCCAAACGATCGCCTGAATAACGGGCTATAATATGGCTACTTAAAATGATTAGAACCAAAGCAATTTGTCTTAAGAGGTAAGCGTTAGGCGCCATCTCGTAACTAAATTAATAATTAAATAAATATAATTAATTAAATTAAATTAAATTTAGAACCTTCTGGAATAAAAGAACTGGCCCGGGACGGGGCTCGAACCCGCAACCTCCGCTTACCGTGCGGTGCGCTACCAGTTACGCTACCAGTTACGCAACCTCCGCTTACCGTGCGGTGCGCTACCAGTTACGCTACCCGGACCCCGAGCAAGCCTTCGCTTCCAGAACCAGCTTTTAAGTAGCCATATTATAGCCAGTTATTCAGGCGATCGTTTGGAAGTTTTGTATGTAAAATGATATATAAACAGGCTTTAATCAAACGGAATATGCATTTCGAATATTATACCCCTCTTCAGTTCTGTTTACAGCATATCTGATTATTTAAACTGAAAAATCTATTTTTATACCATTTCATCATTCTTCCTGTGTGATAAGTAAATTATAGCAATTGTATGCTCAGAAGACATCAATACAACCAGGACAAGCAGCTTTTAAATCACTATGTATTTCATGTTAATAGTTTCATGCTTTACAAATTTTGTTCTAAAGAAATATGAAGTAACAATAACTGCATTTTTTTAACTACAACATCAAAACTTTGCATGCTTTCTAAATACTCCTAGTTTGTTTTAAAAAAAAATCTAGCTATTTCACACAAAGACTAAACTATCATAAATACAAAAGTAATGTAATATTTTCACTTAACGCATAAATAAACATCATTTAAGAATAAAAATAGAATTAACTTTGAAAATATTAATTCCATTTATATTCCTAATGTTCATATATCTATTTCTTAATATCAAGAATTTTTCAGATTAAAACATTATATATTTATAAACTTTTAAAAATTTATATACTCATTAAAAAGATTTTTCATTAAAAAATTATTTAATTTAATGTAATAGAATAAATAATCAATTTGCAATAATGTAAAATAAATGCATAATTAATAAAAATAAGTACATACACTTTCTGTGGTCATAGATTGTTCCATAAGTTTGTACGGCTCCATATCATAAACATCACCTTTAGACAACTTAGGATTTCTACAATAATCTGTCTGAAGAGAAGTCAAATGTGAATTTTCTACTGGTAATATTTGTTCTCTGTTCACATTATCAAAACTTGAACAATGGGAATGTACAGGTTGTTGAGAAATATCTAATGAAGTGTTTTCTTGGGATGAAGTGTCTGAAAGAATATCTGCAGCTGGATCATCTATTATTTCAGGAGAATCAGGTTGTTCCTTTATTCTTGTTGAACCACAATCAATATTTTCATTTTGTACAGATCCACTATTAGATCTTTTCCGATTTCTTACTCGTCTTTTATTATTTGATTGTGGTAAAGTTCTTTTTGGTTGAACAGGTGGTTCAGAAGGTGGTATATTGGAAAATTGATGAGGTGAAATAGTATCCATTAATGTATCTTCAGTTTGCTGATTTGAATTTGCAATTTCTGCTAATCCTTTCACTTGTAATGTCTCTGCAATTTTTAACAATGCTGACAACTGATCCTGAGTAACATTTACTTCACCACGATACATAAATTCTACAATAGCTTTCAGATCACAATATTTGATATCCTTTAATATAACAATTGGATGTTTGCATGGATTCTCTAGGAAAAGACTCTGAAAAAATGGACTACATGCTGAAAGGATGGTCTTATGTGCTTTTAAACTTAAACCTTCACAAGCAAGCGTTACATCAACTAATGCTTCATTGGATAATAATTGTTCAAATACTGCCATCATATTGTTTTGATGGTGGTTCCACCTGAGACAAAACTGTTGAGTTCCCATTTTTTCTTCCTAAAATATACTTGCTTTGTAAAAATGAAGAAATCTATATAAGAAATAAACATTAAATAAAATAATATTTCAATAAATTAAAGTGAAAAATTTAATATTGACATAACAAAAATTCATTATCTAAAAAGTCCACTTTATATAGAAAATAAGTAATAAAATACTTAAATTGAGTTAAAAAATAAAAACAGATATTTAAAATATACATAGAAAGCTTTTGAGTACTTTCAAATTCAAACAATCATCTTCAGGAAGGTTTCAAGACATGAACACGCTTGCTACAGAAACAGGCAGTGTCCCAATAGCAGATATAATGTAGGCAAAGGTGTTTGCCTACAGTATATCTGCTGCTGAATGCATAATTAATTCATATTTACAAATATATATTATCTATGCATCCAACTAATGAAAAGTAGCATGCAGACTACAGTGAATCTGATACAGTGCATGAAGTAATTACTGATCTTTTATGGCCCTGGAGGTAATGGATGGCCGCCATCGTTTAGACGAAACCTGGCCGTCTTTTTTCATCCATTTACATCTCCACAAAGACTGTCTTTATCAGAAGGCTGTAAACGTGAATTAGTTAAGTCCACGACCATGTTTTAAACTAAAACAACATTTATTTACAACAATCCTCGAGTACACTTGAAAGAGAGCTACACATGCTCATGGCAGCGATCACCCGACAAGAAGAAGAAGCAACAATACCCAGAATTCTCTCTGGGAAAAACCCAGTTCCCGTTTTTCTATCCGGGATTCCCGGGAAACTCGTAGAGGAGTGGCGCCATCTCACCAGTCCGTGATTTGTCGCCGCAGTACCCCCCTCCTAGCGACCGCGATCGATGAATCTCACTGGGGGTTTGATTTTGCGGCCATGTCGTGAGATCTTCGTCTCATATGCGGGTTCTGGTTGGTGAGTATGCCCAGCCATCTTGTTGCTGGGTTGGTCTATCACCGGCTGTGCAGGGCTGATTGAGTCTTTCTCCTTGAGCATAAAGGCAGGTTTCAGTCTGTCGATGGAGACGACCACTTCTTTGTTATTTTTTTTAATTTTGAAGAATTTGTCTCCCTTTTCCACTACGGGGAATGGTCCGTCGTAGGGAGGGCGTAGTGGGGCGCGTACAGCATCGTAACGTAGAAAAACGTGGCTACAGTCTCTTAAATGCATGGGAACAAAAAGTTTGGGCTCCCCATGCGATGCTGCCGGCGTTGGTGTTAAGTTTTTGAAGAAAGACTTTAGTGTCTTTATGAAATCTGCAGTGTTTATGTCCGCTGGGGTAGGATCGAAGAATTCACCTGGTAAACGTATTGTCTGTCCGTAGACTAACTCACTGGACGTTGCTTGTAGGTCAGGCTTGAACGTTGTCCTTAACCCAAGTAGTACGGTAGGGAGTATCTCCGTCCACCGTTCTGTTAAGTAGGTTTTCAGGGCACATTTTAATGTCCGATGCCAACCTTCGATCATACCATTAGCCTGGGGGTGAAAGGAGCATGTATGTATGTGCTTGGAACCCATTAGAATAGCCAAAGACCGAAACAAACGTGATTCAAACTGGCGTCCCTGGTCGGTAGTAATGACCCCTGGAACGCCGAACCGAGCTATCCACGTTCGGTATAAGGCTTTAGCCACAGTGTCGGCCTCTATATCCTGCAGTGGTTCTGCTTCAACCCAACGAGTATACCTGTCGATCATAGTGAGACAATAGCAATGATTTCCGGAAGGAGGGAGCGGACCAATAAGGTCGATGTGGATGTGATAGAAACGTTTGTTTTCCACGGGGATGCTTGTAATTGGACTTTTAGTATGTCTAGTAATTTTGACGCGTTGACAAGGAATGCACGTAGTTGTCCACTTGCGACAGTCAGCCTCCATGCCCGGCCATACGAACCGATTGGTTATTAGCTTCACCGTGGCTTTACTGCCTGGGTGCGAAAGGTCATGCATGGCATGGAAAACTGATGCCTTTGCATCTCGGGAATAAAAGAACGAATCTTACCGGTGGACACATCACAGTATAGTTCTACTTGATTTTCTGGTAATATTAGTTTTTTAAGCTGTAGATTGGTCGAACTATTTCCCAAAAGTGATTGGAGGTTTGGGTCGGTCTTTTGTGCATCAGCAATTAATTTGTAATTTATGGGAGAAGGGCAAACGATAGATTCGACTCTGGAAAGTGTATCGGCCGGAATATTATCAGTTCCTTTTATGTATCGAATGTCAGTGGTGAACTGGCCTATATAGTCTAATTGACGTAATTGACTGGGGGAGCATTTTCCACTTTTCTGGAGAAAAACGAAGGTCAATGGCTTGTGATCTGTATATAACGTGAAAGGTCTAGCTTCTACCATAAAACGAAAATGCTTAATTGCCAAGTAAGCGGCTAACAGCTCGCGATCGTATGCCGAATATTTATTCTCCGTATCTGTAAGTTTGCGCGAAAAAAAACGTACCGGCTCTGTCCCGGCTTTAGTGACCTGATGCAGCGCGGCGCCTAGGGCGAACTCTGATGCGTCAACGTGCAATGCTAAATGTGCGTCCAGGGCTGGATGAGCTAGTAGAGCTGCGTTTGCTAATCGAGTTTTGGATTCCTCGAATGCCTTTTTTGCTTCGTCTGTCCATGAAATTTCCGCATTGTCGGATTGTTTTGCGCCTTTAATTAGTCACAAAGCAGAGCTTGAGCAAGCGCAGCGTGTGGAATATTACGGCGGTAGTAGTTCAACATGCCTAAAAACCTACGGAGCTGCTTTACTGTTTTGGGTCGCTCGATCTTTATGACGGCTTTTACTTTCTGGGGAAGAGGTTTAATTCTGCTGGCGTTGACTAAATACCCTAGGAAAGGTAATTCATTTGTACCGAGTATGCATTTTTCTGGGTTTATTCGGATACCATATTCTGATAAACGTCCGAGTACTTTTTCCAGATGCACATAATGTTCCTCCTTTGTCTTACTTGCCAACAGGATATCGTCTATGTAAACAAAAACAAAATCTAATCCATGTAGGACTTCGTGCATAAATCTCTGGAAAGTTTGTGCCGC